TTTTGAGAGATCTTTGTTGAATCCAAAAGTTGTTACTACTCTTAAAACTCTTCTATACAAAAGATTGCAATGTTTTAACTATGGAGTTACTACTAATTAGTAAGAACTTTAACCAAGTGGTACTTGGCTAGTGGTTTCTCTTTCTCGAGGATTTGTCATGTTGGTCTAGGCCAGGGATCAAATCCTCTCAAGCGTGAAATTATCTCACAACACCACTTGGCCAGCCGTAGATGGATTTTATGGCCTTCGAGGATTAGTCTGAAAACTTTCCCTTCAGATGATCACAGTTATAAAACATAAACAGTATACAAAGACTTTAGTGTGAGGTTGATTGGGAAAATCTTACACCTTTGACCATTTTGGACGTTGACCTAAGACTTTGGACGTTCTTGTCCTAAAAGTCTGTCTCCTTGCTTTGGTCTGGTCTGAAATTGACAAGTAAGAATCATCATCTATAAAACGTTAAACACTTTGGAAAAGACTTCACTTTCTTCCATTTTACCAACCTAAGAAGATCATATCATATAGCAGATTCATACATGAACAGACTCAAAAACCAAACCTAAACCGAACAAAAATGATCAGTAACTAAAAATCCAAGCGTATCGCCTCACATCTACTCTGTTTTATAGTATACTTATATTGGTAACTATATTTCTAAAATCGAAAAATCTTGACCATCATTTTTCAAAGTGTAATAAACAAGGGATATCTAGTTACTAGATGAAGCTTGACTAGTAGGTGCAAGTTTGATTCATTTGGCCGTTACTACTTTACTTGTTTGATCTTTTCTCTGATATTAAAATCTTATCCCATAACCAAATTAAAAAACTTCAATTCAAACATCAACCGATTCGACTTTGAAAAATATTCCAGAAAGGCTGCATAGAATACCCTTTGTATGCAACGGTCTTGTTTAGACATTATTATCTGTTAAAATACTCTAATGAGAATGCATAAAATACTCTGTTTCTAACTTGTATAAATACCAACACTACTTGTGCCTTATTTCATCACCTACAACTTCAACAACAAAGATCACATCTCTTACTCTCTATCTCTCAACATTAATGGCAAGTATCAAAGTTTTCGGACACGCTGCTTCTACTTCCACCAGGAGAGTCATCCTCGCCCTCCACGAGAAAAACCTCGACTTTGAACTCGTTCATGTCGAGCTCAAAGACGGTGAGCACAAGAAAGAGCCTTTCCTCTTCCGCAACGTAAGTATATCTATCTATCTACATGTTATTATAAGACAAGACCAACCCTTTGATCAATTCTTGAATGTTTTGGTTTTTATATTGCAGCCTTTTGGTAAAGTTCCAGCCTTTGAAGATGGAGACCTCAAGCTTTTCGGTATGAATCTTGAGTCTGATTCTAGTAATATGCAAAAGAAGAAGGAAATTTCACTAACATGGTTTGGTTGTTTTGTACAGAATCAAGAGCTATTACTCAATACATAGCTCACCGATACGAAAAACAAGGAACCAACCTTCTTCCAGACTACGTTAACAACATGGCACTCTACGCAGTCATGGCCATTGGCATTGAAGTAGAAGGTCACCATTTCGATCCAGTGGCTTCAAAGCTTGCTTGGGAACAAGTGTTCAAGCCCATGTATGGCTTGACCACAGACCAAGCCGTTGTTGAAGAAGAAGAGGCTAAGTTAGCCAAGGTCCTTGATGTCTACGAGTATAGGCTCAAGGAGACCAAGTATTTAGCTGGTGATACTTTTACTTTGGTCGAACTTCACCACATTCCTGTGATTCAATACTTGCTCACAACTCCCACCAAGAAGCTCTTCACCGAGCGTCCACGTGTCAACGAATGGGTGACTGAGATCACCAACAGGCCAGCTTCACAGAAGCTCCTTCAGTGAGAAATTTCTAAACATGAAAAAAAAAAACAAAATGGTTCTGTTTCAGTCTTCATAATAATGGCCACAGAGTAAATAAGTGGCTGCCTCATAGCCCAATTCTCAGTACTCTGTTTTTTTCGGTCTGTTTTGTTTTCAGTTAT